GTGTTACTGACTGTAACCTCTCCTGTACCTGGAGAGGTACTATGAACCTTGTGAGCACTTGTCTCTGAGTGTTTCCAGTCTGAATTGCTATTACTCTTACCTTTAGGAAGCAACAAAACACCTCCAAACACCAAAATATCCCAGTGAGGAAAAATCCCAGTGAAATCCACAGAGGATTTGTGCCCATGTTACCAGAAGGAGACCCAAAGTTAAAATGAAAGTTCACATTTTTTTTTCCTGATGCCCCAGGGTAAATAGAAGAAAATAAAATGCTTTGAATCTGCCCCTGAAAGTGCAGACTCATTAGAATTTGAGTTTTAGTACTTTCTATTTGCCTCCATGCCATTCACTGCTCCATTGCAGTAAGCTCTGAATATGCATATGACACACCTGCTCACTCTTTCTAGTATCTCCTGCAAAGGCTTGTATTTTAAACTGAGAAGACAGACAATGTTCAAGGGAAGAAGTGTCACATTTTACAGATGGGGAACTGTGATACAGCTGGGGCATTTCTAAGTAACTTTCTGAACACTCGGATATTTGCATACTCATTCAGAACAACTGCAACTTTGTGTTTACAAGGCTTTTCAGGACTTTGTATATCATACAACACTCTTTTCCCACAGTATCTCTCTTCTCTTTGATTCTTCATCTCCCTCATGAAAATATTTCAAGACAGACCTTAGAACATGCAGGGGATGCTCTGTGATCATGGCTGAAATGTATGGGCCCTGTCACAGACTGAGGCTGCCAAACAGGATGGATCGTTTATTTCATGATGTACCAAGAAGGCTTATTTTGAGGCTGCTCATGTAGATGGTATTCATGTGATGTTTTGAGAAATTCCTACGACATAGCTTACCATCCCTCCTCAGCAGACTGTCTTGCAGATCTGTCTGCAAGGTGGTTTTTGATTTGTGACCTCTGAGCATTTCTTACAGGAGTAATAGGTTAAAACCCTGGAAGTTTTCAGTGATCTGAATTACCGATGAGACGATGAATTTAAAGCATACTTTTTCTTACCAATAGCTCATGATAGCAGCAACTAACATCTATTATGAGGATATTAGTATTAGTCTAATCTGGGATAACAGATTTCTGTTCTTCATGGTCCACATTCCTTTCACTTGAAGATTGCATCATGAGGCCATGCTGCATCCCTGGTGCAAACAGAGCGTGTGAAGCGCCCTCTCCTGTGCAAAGGTTGATAGTGCAGGGGAAAGGGAGCGCAGCGGGATGAAGACGGCCCCAGGAGGCAAAAGAGATGGAGAGCACTGGTAGGTATCATATCCTTTAGACATGCCGAGAGCGTCAGCTTTGGGGATGCTGCCACCTGTATGCTTCCCGGCACATCAAAGACGTTAAAAAAAAAGACTGGATCTCTCTGATGGGATCCCCCCCTACCCTTATTTGCTACCTTTAGCTTGTGCTGGTTTGAAAACAAGTCAGGTATTCTGGCCTGTGAGACAATTTTGGCATTATTTCACTATACAAAGGATGTTTCCTGTAAGACCTATCCCTCAGTGTGACCTGTAGGATGACAAGATGCTCACGAAGAAAAGCCTTTAGATTGTGATTGGTTTTGAAAGCCTAGTTCTGAGTTAGGTTTTACCACTTACTACCCAACAGAAATTCGGCATTGGGTTGTACATCACATCAGAGAAGAAATCAGACCAGCTATAGGGCCACCAACTGCAGAAGAAACTTTGTCATGCATAGAAAGTCTGAGTTCATTTGTATCTAGTTTTGCCTGTTTTGTATAACTATCCTCTTGAAGTAAAATTCCGTGCTGAACATGAAAGCATTTATTGGACAGGAATAGAGTTTTATAAGTGAGTTACCCCAAACAATTACTTAAAAAATGCAGTCTCTAAAAATAATGTAAAATTAATGAATAAAGAAACAAAACAGATGTATTGTCTGCAAAACCTAGTTTGACCAGCTCTAGTTCATAGCCAGAAATTATTCACTTCATGTTTCACAGTCATACTTAAAATAATCATCAATCCAGTTATCTCCCAGGTACATTATGAATATCTGACACATGTAAAAGTAAAATAAGCTTTTATTTATTGAGTAGCCCACTCTTCTTTATATCAAATTATGGAAGTTATACCTGAGAAAATGCTGAATATAAATGAGAGTGAAATTTTCAAATCTTGCCCCCTTACTCTGGTGAATGATTTACCCATCCCAAAACTTATGCATGGAAGCCTGGCTGAATAAAGACCCAATTGAGAAGCATGGCCTAGGCATGGTTCTGTACTCTCTCCAAGTCATCTTACAGCTTAAGCTGAGTTCAGGAAGTCAGGGGACAGATCCAAAAGCTGTGTTGAGAACTGCAGATATGATGTAGTATGTGAACCTTTCTTCACAGCACAAAGCAGTCCCTGCAGGCTTACTGGTAATGTTCTGCAGGAGAAAAGGATGGAAAGACCCACACAATCAATCCACTCTTCAGATCTGCTCAGATCTGAGTAGTGTCTATAGCATGTGTCCCAATGCTGAGGCCTTTCCTTTGCCTCTATGGCAGAGTGAGATACTATGTGACAAAACAGATCACATGCTTCAGTTTATCAGATCAGAAACAACTGGTTCATCTGAGGCGATATTTTAACAATGTGGAAATAGCCTTTCTCAGTGTCCTTACTCAGACGTGAAGCTGCTTTTCCATATATCCAAAGAAATCAGGATTTGGCGTTTTCCCATGTGGATGCGTTGCTTGGTACCTGACCTCTAATCCCTGCAGTAATTGGTCACAGAATATTTTAGTTTGGAAAGCATCTCTGGAGATCATCTAATTAGATGATCCAAGTTAGATCACGCTGCTTAGGGCTTTGTCACTTCTAAGAATTTTGTTTCAGAATGTGTCTGAACAAAGAAGCTCCAAGGATTTTCACTAGGAGAAGATGCATAATGATACAGTAATTTAGAACAGCATATAAATTAGGCAAGGCAAAAGAATTACAGACTCTGCATCAGGCCCTGCTAATTCCTGTCCCCTGCATCTATGGCCCAGGGCTCTTACTGGTTACTCTGAAGATACTCACTTTTTATCAGAGGAAAACCTCAGAGAGATTTCTAAATTCGTCGAGGTGAATATCTAATTTGCATCCATTTCAATTAGTTCAGAAGTCTGTCTCTTTGGTTTCTTCTAAAATTACCAGTATTGTTCATCAGAGTTTACATTTAGACTATGAAAATCCAGAGGTTGAGGCAGTTTGCATGTGTGCCTCCAGAGATTAATCACCAATGCTCACTTGGGCTGTTATGAGCAACGCCTGCTGCTGAATTTTTTAGCAATAGAAAGTTTGATTTTCAGCAAAATTACAAATATTCAGCACTTCACAGATCTCACCTTGATGCTTTAGAGACTTTGATTGCTGGGGTGTGTATGAAAATAGAAAACCACAACTCGATGATTAGCATCACAACGGAATTTCACATTTTTCCAAGAAACAATTTCGTATTAAGTATTATGTGATTTACTTTTGAGGACACCAGCATTTCATTGGTAGATGCCAGAGGAGTCATTAAATAATACAAAAATTAAATATGTCATAAATAAAATAACTTGAGGAAATGCAATTTGGCACAATGCTTTTTGTCCAAAACTGTATGAGAATAAAGCATAATCTATAGAAATATCTATGACAGTCTTAACATATTAACAAGTATTCTATTTACATTAACATCGATTAATATTAGTTCAATTCAGAAACGTGAACATTAATAAGAATTTTAAAATATTACAGATATTACAATTTTATTACAAATAAAACATTACGGATGAAATAGAATAAGCTGTGAAACACTTTACAAACTTGTTCTCAAATAAACATCCAATTGATTCATGATCTTCGTCTGTTTTACTTTGGTGGCATGAAAATACGAAGAAGCTGCTTAGATAAATCTTGCCAGTTTTGTATCTTTCTTATTTTTTAAATTCTCGTTTGAAGGCACAGGAAACTACTATCAATAATTTATTCATAGTGAAAGTGGCAGCAGCAATAACAAAATCTATCCCAGCATAGTCTCATGTGTGCACCACCAGTGTGTTTGAGGGGATTTCCCTCTGCGGAGAGATGGGACTGTGTCCTCCATGCTGCCAGCCCTTCCTTGTCAGTAAGGCACTTAACTCTTGTGCAGGCTCCTACACAGCAAAAGTTGGATCAGTACCGAAAGGGAAGTCAGAAATGAAAGCTTAGGCATAAGTGAAACACAAGTTCAATAAACGTTTGGAGATGGCATAAAAAGTCCCTGACTCCACTTGGAAATGTGGGAATCTTCTATATACTCCAGTGCATTCTAGATTTAACTGCAAAACAAGTAAAATTTATGAATTATAAAATATCAAGCATTAGAATTGTGCATTTTAAGAATTTCAGGACAGTGCAGGATCTTGACCAACACTGAAGTACTGTTGGTCTGTGTTACCAGGCCACTGTTTTGCCCTCTAATTCTTCCCAGAATGTGCAAGGTAGATAAAGCTGCATACTGAAGTATTAGGAACATTTTCAAGGGTCTTGTTGAAAGACTTCCTCAATTTTAATATTTTCCACTGGTTAACCACAAACGTTAACAACGGAGTACATGCATGAGAATCTGAACATGTACCTCTTCAAGAACTAAATGTTTCAACCACAAGAATGGGCGCTACATGTTCTTCTTGGCAGGTATTTTTTTTGTTGTCCAGCTCAGAAGATAAAACTGGTTCTGAATTCACATGAATAAGAACCAGACCCAAAATAAGTTTTCAGATTTCAGTGTGAGTCAAAGTAAATGTCCTTAGCAAAGCAATATTTTCACTAGTGATACTGGTGGGCAAACCTTGTTGTAGGAGACAAGCAGAAATAAGTATCTCTTCCATGGCATTCTCAAGGAGCTGCTAGTCAATGCAATGTGGCAAAACTTCCTACAGACAGCAGCATATAAGTAGTGTGCTGCAGTAAGCAGCCTAGAGCTGGTGTTGGGAACAACTTTGTGCCAGCAGCTAACTGCTAGCTTCCACCTTCCTGGTCTTTGCCACTATTACAGGTTTTCTGAATGTCAGATGAAACTGGTGTTTCTTTGTTTTCTTCTCTTACCACTCCTTCCTGTGCTTCTTTTGACATTTTCCATTTTATGCTGTCAGTCTTGTGATTAATGGATGAATTCAGTCTGGATGAGTTCAATCTCCATCTTCTCAGACTCCTATAAAAGTCTTTTCTGACGTTTTCACTAACCAGCACATAGATGATTGGATCAGCAATGCTGTTTGCAGTGGCTAAACACAGAAACACTGTAAAAACTGAATAGATATCTTCTTCAAATGGACATGAGCAATTTTGATGAAACATGAAGTATATGGATCTTATTATAAGTACCACATGGTAGGGAGCAAAGCACATCAGGAAAATGACAATGATGGCAATAGCCAGATATTTCACTTTGGCTTTTTGGCGACAAGTCAAGATGCTGCTTGTTTTTGTACTTTGAAAAATTTTATAGTTTGTGAAAATAAGGATTGTGAAAGGTATGGCAAATCCAAATAGGAATCTAGCAAAGCTGAAAGAAGCCAGTTTGATGTCAAGAGGCAAAGTCTCAAAGCAGGTTTTATAACCTGGATTATCTTCCATGTAAAATACCGGAATGTGGATTATTGCAACCACAGCAAAGAGAAAAAACACTATTATGATTGCCTTTTTCTGTCCTCTTCTCCCCCTTGATTCCAGAGCATACACCAGTGCCACATAACGATCCACAGAAATGCAGCACAAAAGCAGAATGCTGATGTATATGTTGCAGAAAAAGATGAATCCTGTTACTCTGCAAGCTTTTTCACCCATAGTCCACTGGTGCTCATCTTGCACATAGAGAATCCAGAGAGGCAAGGTACTTAAATACATCAGCTCACACAATGATAAACTGAAAATGTAGATGGCAATTACTTTATTCCTTTGGATTTGTATGAATGTAAGCAGGGAAGTTAAGCAGTTTGCTGGAAGGCCTATGGCAAAAACAATGCTGTAAACAGCAACCAGAAGTGTCTTGCTGTCTTTGTAGGGAATTCCTGTGCAAATGGTGCTATTATTTGTGTCTGTACAATTTTCCATTATTCTTTTTGCAGCTGGTGTTTCCTGAGAATCAGAAGACAAGATGGAAAGTTAGCATTTGTGTCACATAAAAGCATGTCAGTAAAGGTTACAGTCCCTTAGGTGCCCACAGAGCATCAGGGGAACAAGTAGGATGCTTGCTTTGGGAGAGCATCTAAGACAGGCACTCTGGGCCAACTACTGAACTGCTGTGTAAAGGGGATAAAAAGGGTGCTTGATTTCAGGGTCAGCAGCAGTTCTCTGCCCAAACATCACCTGGGACGTGGCATGTGACAGCTTGAGCAATGTGAGAGCTGCTGTACACCTTCATACCACAGAGCAGCCTTGAAGACCTGTTCTATGGTAAAGCACAGCAGGTGACTACACCTTGTACATGAGGCAGATGGTGACAGGGACACAGCACAGTCACAGGCCATCTCAGTTACTCAGTAGCTGTCTATGCCAGGCACCTCAACAAAAAAGCCTTCAGGAGTGGTTGAAGGTTCGCTCTCTCCCCGCCCCAGGCTCTGCCTACTTCTCTTAACCCTATGTTTGTCTACATATTCTCCTTTCTGCACTGCCTGCGCCTGCTGTTCATGCTCGTTGTGTGAAGGCATGCTTCCTCCAGTGCAGCTGACAATGGTGCAGAGCAGAAAGGAAGTGGTAGAAGAGTTTTTCTGTAGACACGTGGTTCCCAATGTTTCTTTCTCTCACCTCCTTCTCTTACCTCCTTCCTTCCTGCTTTGCTTCTAGTGACTTTCCTGTGCTTAGCACCCATGAGTGAGCCTCAGGAAGGAGGTGCCTGTGACTTTTTAAGCTGCCTGCATGAAGCATGCTTTTCTTTCCTTGGCTTTTGACATACAGCCTAAGCCACAGGGCTGAGTCTTAGCTGGAGAGACCTTCACCCTTAAATGACTGTTGGCTGCCAAGCTCAAAGCCCCAGCTGACAAAGTGCAGCCATAGGTGTGCATTTACACTTTGAGAGAAAAAGCATGAGCGGAATGACTCTCTCAAAGGTCTGGCTTGTCAGCTCAGGAGCCTGGATCCTTTCCAGCAGTGATTGTCTATGTCCCAGCCCTGTATCCGGAAGGAGGACGGGGGGCATCTATTTGTTCCCCTACCTTACCTTCTTCTAGCTCTCTGCCCTGCCCAGGGAAGAATCTTCTGGCCCTGGCCACTGCCTTCAGCCCGACTTCTGAGCTTCGCTTCTCTCTGCTCAGCTCTCAACGTCTGCAGGAGGTTTCCTCCTGAAACTGGTTACCAGAAAGCAGCACTCAGCAGACCGTTTATGAAACTTCTCCCTGTGACATTGCCACTCTGTGACTGAACACACACTTTTATCTTCTTCTCAGGCCTTTAGAGTTTGCTGGTTTGATATTTGGCTCAGAGCAGAAGAATCCAAGTTCTGTCTTCTTATGTGGTGGCTGGGCCATGATGGATGTATCCTCACATCTCTCAAATGTAGTATTCATAACTGTACTGCTTTATCTAAAGAGGCAACTGGTTACCTGTGAGCACTCTATTGTTGTGCCACACTGGTGCAGGACTGGAGCAGGTTATCTTGAATCTGAGATACTAATTCAAATAACAATAAAAATTACACAGCTAAAAAAACCCAAACCCCAAACCATACACCATTTCAGGGTTCATTTTCTGCTAATATTTGTGATGAGCAGTTTTAGTGATTGGTTGAAGCATCTGGCTGTTTGGGTCACATGGAGGTGGGCAGCAGCTCTAGCCACATCTCTCTCTTCAGTTCTTTTGCCTTGAAATGCCACTGCTAAACCTGAAAAGTGTGTGGACTTTTGTGAGTCTGCCAGCTTAGAGTTTATAACTTCAGAGTGAATGTAAAGATCTTCCCTGGTGTCTGGTCCCTGAATGAAACAGAAAAGGGTCCTGGGAGCTGGGAGGTGCAGAGACTTGACTGATGGGTCTTGCTGCTCATTTGGGCCAATTGCAATAATATCTGGTCTTCCCTCAAGAGGCTGAAGTGTTTTCACTAACACTGAGGGGTAAAGAGGGAAGTGAAAACAAGAGGGAAAGCAAAAGACTTTTCTGGGGGGGTTGTTTTTTCTTTTTTTTTTTTTTTTCCTTCATTTATCTATGAGCTGCTAAAGTAAAACTGTTCCAGTTTCCAATAGAGAAGCTGGAGTGATAAAAGTAACCCCTATTAGGAGAAGTAGAAAAGAAAATTGCAGATACAGTTACAAGGAAGAGAGGGAGAAGTCAAAAAAAGAACAGTAGCTGAACAGAGCACTGGTTGAAAGTCTTTGGATTGATTCACCTGAGATATAGAGGGACAGAAGAGAAAAAAGACACAGTGAAATCCATAACATGAGTGTCATGCTTTAATATACTTTTAATCATCCAATAATTTTCCGATCATCCTTCTATGCCAAGGATTATTGTTAGAGCTGAAAGTTTTGAGGGGTTTCTGTGGGTATTAGGAATAATTTTTAAAATCTCCATGCTTATAATGGTTAAGATAGATAAAAACAAACCATACCTTCAGACCTTCCTTCCAGCTCCAGTGTTTGGAAAGGGTAACAACCTACATGTTTTAAAGCATAAATTAACCTTCAATGAAACAGGACCTGAGTTTCTCCTGAGGGGTTTTGTGTGATTTCCTTAGTAGCATGTGGTACTGTAAGTATTTGACACGAGTGCTAACGTGATGTCAGTCTGACCACTCAAATTGCAGTACTGTAAGACATCAATTCCCAGATATGACAGATATGCCACCTACAATACTCATCACCAGCAACATCACCCCTCTTCTGAACCTGGGCTTCTCTTCTCATGCAGAACTTACATTACCTGCCTGTGAACTTTATGAACAATTAAGCTTTCTGGCCACTAGCATTTGTGTCTGTTAACTTTAATAGAAAGTAAGAAATTTGCTGTGAATTATTTGCTCTGCTGTTCTTGAATGCATGAAAAATATTTGTGGTATCTTTGTGGATAAAAATAGATTAGGACCCATTAGCCCAGCAAGGCAGTGAATTGGATTTTTGTTTTTGTTATTGTCTTTATTTGTTTTTCCATTATAAATAAACAATTAGTAGATGAAGCCACTCCTATAAGCAAGTCTCAGCATACAAAGGAAAAGCAACAATGGCTCTACTTAGTCAGTCTGCCCAGCAGACACACACAAGATAGTGGGATTCGAAACAATGTATTTTGAAATTTGAATAATAGAATACAATAAAATACAATATAAAATTTTGAAGCTATTTTGTTTCAAAACTCTGTGGAGAAAAAAGGGTAGATTAAAGTTATAGAACTATACTGGGAATCCAGCCTGAGCACAACTCCATCTTAAAATATCTACCTTCATGTTAGCTTGACTGGAAAGAAACCACTGATGGAATTTGAATGTAGAGACAAATAAACATGGTACAAAGCAGCTTTAATGCCTGATCAGAAGAAACAAAAATTCCATGTGATTCCTGAGAGTGGCAAGTTTCTTGTATGTGCTAGACTTCTACTTGAGTTTTACCCTCTTTTGAACATTCCCTGGCTACTGCAGCAGTGGAGGAGACTCTCAGAAGCCAAGACATCTAAGCAGCCTCCTGCTTAAAATAAGATTGGTAGGCTGAAAATAGCTGCTGTAAGGAAGCAACAAGACCTTGCAATTAGTTAAACAGCCTTAATATTTAACTCTATATTGCAGATACAAGAAATCTTATATAAAAAAGTATTAGTTAGAAGCAAGGAGATATTCATCATCTGCCTTTCAGGAGGGGAAGTCTGCAATCATTTCTGATGAGAGGAAGGTGTTTGATTTATCTCCTGATTCATAGAGGTGAACTCTCAGCAACTAGAGATTTTAAATACTCATGTGTGGGTGTTTATGTAGATCCACACATCCACTTCCCCCTTCCCACAATATATAACTAAATGTACTATTTTGCTAAAATGAGCAATGAATTGTTATAATTCAGGGTTGACAAAGGACCCAGCTTAAAATAGTGGTCCTTCCGTAAATTGTGTGTGTTATACTACCTGGTGAGAGACTGCATAGGAGACAAGAATGACATATGGATGAGAGCAATGTGTAAAAAAAAAGATCCTGCTGCAAGGTTTAAAGCAATCTTATTCAACATATCTAAAAGTAGGTAAACTACCTAAGTAGTTTACAGGTACAGGATATCCTCCATGTATCAGATATCTCCAAGTATCAGATACAGGAGATAGGGGAAATTCACAGGTGAAAAGCAGACTGCAAAATCAACCTGTACTAGTGGATTTTTTCCTTAGTCTTATGAATCAGAGGCTGTGACTCACGATTTTGGGTCTTTTGGACATGGCAAAGTTTTTCAGTCCTCCCTGAGAGCATCACAGAGTGGCTGTTGCAGGACAGATTTGCTACCTGGTACCTACCAGCTTGTCTAGAAAAGGTCCTGGAGCCAGGGGAATGGCTTCATGGCCAGGGAGCTATCAGGAACCCCTGAAATGCCATCATAAATCTGAAGCTAACTATAAAGCCTGTCAAGTCTGAGACTGAGGAAAGCATAGGTTTTGGAGCAGCAGCAGTGAAAGTGAACAGCTAGGAGCAGCCACAAGGCTGAAGACTTTTGTGCTGCTGATTCACCTCCCCTTCTTCACACTCCTTCACACACACAGCCAACAGGCCCTCATGCTTGTTGCCTCCCTAAAGCTGCCACAGCTTATAGGCAGTGGGGGCTATTAAAATAAGTCTTCTGTTACTCAAGTGGGTCATTTGTAAACCTAACAGACTTTCTTGCTGGTTTGTGTTGGAACTATGAAGTCTTGGAAAAAGGAGATGAGAGGAGGGAGTCTGATGCACAGTTTCTCTGACCCATGCCAGGGTGCTTCTGGATGTCAGAGCACAGACGAGTGCCAGCAGATTTGACGCCGAGGTTTGACACTGTTCTGGACTCCTGAAAGAGCAGGCTGGGATATCAGGGAGCAGGCTGTTTTTACAAAGCAAGATCTGGCCATGCTGGCACACTGCTAGAGCTAAGCATGTCTAATTACTAGATGTAAGAAAAATCTGA